GTGTGTGTGTGTGTGTGTGTGTGTGTGTGTGTGTGTGTGTGTGTGTGTGTGTGTGTGTGTGTGTGTGTGTGTGTGTGTGTGTGTGTGTGTGTGTGTAGTTGTGTGTGTGTGTGTGTAGTTGTGTCTGTGTGCTGCTTGGACTTGTTTTTGATTGCTGTTCCCTTTTGAGACGTAGAAATGGTGGACTGAAGATTACACTCTGAAGTTTTTAGATTGTTGTCATAAGCTTAGGATATTGCTCTATACCTTAGAAAAGGTAAGTTTACTGAGTATTATGACTACTAAAATAACTACTACTACTACTGAACAGGGAGATCTCTGCCAGTTGAACTATAATGATGTGGATTTGATCCTTGTGGAAGTATCATAAAAGCTTTACAAAGCCTCGAACAATGCAGTGTGCATGCTCTGTCATTCCTTTTGATCTCACCCCAGCCATGACATCTCTGATCCTCTCCTCTCTCCCCCTTACTAGCATCCCTCCTCACATGCTCTCACTAGTCTCTCTGCTAGAAAGTGCGGTGCTGCACAGCGTTTGGAGGCAGGACCAAACCATTACATGTAAATAGAGGGGGGTGTTCGATGCTTTGGATAATTAACTTTTGGAAGAAAATAAGTTAAATTAATCATACATTTAGTGAGTACATTATCAATATCATGTTATATTAATGTTAATTATTAATGATTGATGACAGGTTACTTAACATTTTTTCTTAATGTTCTAACATTTTTTGGGGCCCCTGTCAGTCACGGGCCCTTAGAATCATCCTAACTTTTCACCCCCTTACGGCGCCCCTGCCCCCTCCACTCAGCGTAATAATACAAATCAAATGTACAATGCCATGGCTGCCGCCTAAAAGAAAAAACGAAATCCTTGCCATCATACATTAATAACCACACACACACACACACCAACTTTGACACTGGGAGAATAATAAGATGCTACGCCCTTACGATTTTTCCTTTTTCTTCTTATTGCTTAATTCCCTAATGTCACGCTTTGCAGTGGCGAAGAACTTGAGCTCTCTTCATGAAAACCACGCACTGCTAAGGTGAGACAAAAAATAATGAAATACTTTACCAATTTGAACCTAATCTTCTTCCCCAAACTCTGCACGCATTTATGCAAAACATCACAAGCACAAAGCAATTGGAGTGTTGTTTTGCTCCTTCTCCCTGCAAAAGTTGGCTATCAAACTAGCTGGGGCGGCTAATGTTTTTCTAATAAGAGCTCACCTTTAATTTCAGTCAAACGAGGCAGTTGGTGAAGATTAGCAGAGGCAATTTTCTGCTTCAGATTCCATTATTAAAGGACTCCTGCTATCAGAAAGTTTCTCTTGTTGGATTGAGAAAAGTTTTTTTTTCCTTTTTACTTGAGCTTGGATGAATACCGTTGGGCTATTGTTGCTGTTATCTTCTTCTCTGAGGGAGTCATTCAGAATGCCTAGCAGCTGTCAAACATCAGCCAGTCGTATCATTTAAATCATGTGATTGAAACTCTCGGCAACAGGTTTAAAACTGACTAACACAACAACAGCATTTGTATTGTCAGTGCAACAATACACATTGTTTGTTTTCAAGAGCTGACCTGGCAAATCCTATATTTTAAATCTCATAAGGTTTCTTTAATTTGAATAGGAGCCATTCAGCCCAAAACACCTATACCCTATATCAAAAGACTATTAAGTATTTTATAAATATCTCAAGGTAACACCACGACAGGTGAGTGTTTCCAGCTTTCTTTAATACGGTTTAAATTATTTTAGTCTACTCTTATTAACATCAACCAATTACTTAAATGGAACCTGGTAGCACCTTTTCAGATCCCAATATAATGCCAAACATTACACAAAGTGCACTAACTAAACATTAAGGCACAGAGTGGCGTGGCACCGCACCACGAGGCAGAGGTAAAATGCAGATTATGGTGGTTGCCATGGGTTACTGTTTGTCTATGCAAGCTGCAAGGGTATTTGTCATCTAATACGTCACTGTCAAGTTCAGTCTCTCTCTCTCTCTGTCTCCCTCTCTCAGGTTGCATTCACTTCCCTTTCATGAATATTCTCTCCGCCAGTGATTTATTTAATCCTGTCGCTCTACCCTCTGCTGCACACGGCACACACACACACACACACACACACACACACACACACACACACACACACACACACACACACACACACACACACCACACACACACACACACACACACACACACACACACACACACACACACACACACACATGCCGTGCATTTACAAAGCACAGTTAAAATGTGCACACTAATTTATTGTGTGTATTTGTCAGTGAAGGAAGGGACTACTGAGCTCATTCATATGTGAAGGATGTATGATTCTGTAATTGCTTTATGGCATGGCATGAGGGCAGTTGTGTGAGTGTGTGTGGTGTGTGCGTGCATGATTGCGTATGTGAATGTAAGGTGGTCAGCTTCCAAAAATAAATAGGCATGTCTCATCATGTTAAAGGAAGTCATGCATCTCTTTATCAAATTGAACACAAATTCTTTCTATTTCCCTCTCTGTCTTGTGTACTCTTTTCCTCTCAATAGTTCAGTGTTATACAGAGTGTAAACAGACTGCGGAATAACATCTCATTGCTTTATATTCTATTATAGTATACTATTGTATTCTATTTGAGATTCAAAGCTCAGTCTTGACCTATGTGACAGCAGTTGAAAAAACAATCTCACCTCGAGGGGTTATGAAAACACATCATGAATAAGAACTAATTTGGTGGCCAGAAAAACAAGAACATCTTTATTTCCATGACAACTGGGCAAAAGCAAAAAAAAATTGATATGTTAAACTATCAACTACCTAAATAACTTAAAGTAAATATTGTTATAGAATATTGTTCCTATTCTGTTCTAATATATTTATATTCTGTTATTTTCCATTATATTCTGTTCTGTTTTGTTGTTTTATATACTTTGATTGATTTGTTCTTGTCTTTTTCAAAATTCACTTCTGTTTTGTATTGTTCTATTATATTCAATTGTTCTTTTCTTCTCCGGTTTGTATTATTTTCAGTTTTGCTCTCTTCTATTGCCAGTGGACTGAGTGTGAATATGAAAGGTTGAACAGGATGCAGCGCTGTGAATAATAAGGTGTGTGTGTGTGTGTGTGTGTGTGTGTGTGTGTGTGTGTGTGTGTGTGGTGTGTGTGTGTGTGTGTGTGTGTGTGTGTGTGTGTGTGTGTGTGTGTGTGTGTGTGTGTGTGTGTGTGTGTGTGTGTGTGTGTGTGTGTATCCATATCCCAATCCTTCCAGTTACGAGTTCTGTCACAACAGCAGGTAAATTACTACAAGCAGCGGAGCACTCAAGGATTACCCTCATGTAGGATTAGCATTCGTACCTGTGTGTGTGTGTGTGTGTGTGTGTGTGTGTGTGTGTGTGTGTGTGTGTGTGTGTGTGTGTGTGTGTGTGTGTGTGTGTGTGTGTGTGTGTGTGTGTGTGTGTGTGTGTGTGTGTGTGTGTGTGTGTGTGTGTGTGTGTGTGTGTGTGTGTGTGTGTGTGTGTGTGTGTGTGTGTGTGTGTGTGTGTGGATATGATTGTGTGCTTCATCCACACTGGCTTGTACTGTATGTGCGTAAGTAAGATAAAAATAAATGAGAAAGTTTGACTCTGACTCCTAAGCTGCTTTGTCAATGCATAATGCATCTCTTTCCACAGGCTGCACCTTGGAGCCTTTAAAAACTATTTCAGCTTCTCCAACTGCAACAAAAAACAACATAAACAATCTTATAATGTTATTATTTTCCTTGTCTCTTCATCAGATTGAATGACACAAACAGAAATCATTACGCCGGCTGTTACTGTAGTTTGGATTTAGCCTTCTAGGAATTGGTTACATTTAGTCACTTGGATCTAATTGATTTTTCTTGTTTTGTTTGTGCAAATTTGATATTGAATTTCAACAGTTGAATTGAGTAAGTACCTGCGATTTCCTTTTTAATTGATTTTGAGCCATTATTTTTTTTTTATCCCAGTAAGAAGCTGAAATTTGAGCTTTACGCTGTTGCTGACTTGTTTACTAATGTCATCGTGAGATATGATGAGAGAAGTCATATTTTACGGCTCTCTAGTTCTTTGACTAAACATTCAACTGTGTTATAGCTGTTTATATCATGTTTGATAATGTTTCTGCTCTATGACCTGTTTCACTCCTTCTAGTAAGACACCGTCAGATCTCAACGTGTAGTTTGTCAGTGAGACTAAACATAAATGTGTAATTGTTGAAAATCCACTTCAGAAATATGACGGTAGATCCCAGGTTGTAAAGAAAGAAAATCATGTTTTCCTTATACCATAAATAATAATTTACTAATAAACGTATCAAATTGGATTAGCTTTAAAGTTGACATTTTGAAGATCCTCGTTTTCTTCTCTTTTTTTCTCAATTTGTGATTCCAGGTGTTTTCTTTACAGATGTTACATCCCGGTAATGTCCCCACAGACGCTCAGTTTGTGAAACCACACATGGAAAAGCTTTCATAATTGGGCTGAGACTCAATTAACATTATGTTACCTCATTTTGATGAAAGTGATAAAACAGACGTTTATTTAAAAGTTAATCTTTGATTTTAACATATTTATCTTCTGTGTTGAAGATGTTCTGCCATGCTACAGTTCACTTTTAATTATAACAAAATGTCATAAAGTATTTGAAAAATGATTTGTCAAAAGAAAGATTAAACATGACAATTGTAAAACAAATCAAATATTCTGGAAGCACAACAGCAAGAGCAATAACAGTGCTCAATAACTCACACAGGATTAACAAAAGATCAAAGTTATCACTCGTTTTTTTTACTAGGCCTCTTAACAGGAGAGGCAGAGTTTAAAAACGACAGTATGAACCACCAAAACGCAGAGCATAGTAATTGTAGGCTGACGCACACAGTTAATAAAGACATCCTCAGTTTGCAGTGTTGTGTTCTAATCGCACTGACCCTGCCCCCTGCCCTGTGTTTCTGTGCAGACCCCGGCAGATTGGCTCCGTGTGCAGCGGGCTACAGTCCCAGGTGCTGCAATGCTACAGCGACCATCCACAGCAAACCCTGCTCTGCTCCAGCCTGGCCCGACAGTACATGAGCTGCGTCCAGCAGGCCAAGAAGGTAGGCGGGGGTTACACACTGTACTGTGCGTGGGTGTGGGAGCGCCAGAGAAATTGTGTTTTTGTTTTGTTGAAAAAAGTACATGTCCCCTCAGGAACAAAGATTCGCTCACTTTTTGTTCTGATTTTGTCAATTTATATAAAAACCTGTCTGAAGATGAGCTGATCAGATTTTGGCCACTTTATGTCATAAAGATTTTTTGGCTTGTGTAACCATTAACCAATCACCAACCAAGTTAACCCCCGCTATGAAGGTAGATATGGTGCAAAATGCGAGAGCGTGTAAAACCTGATGTGAGCACTTGCAGAAAAAAAATCTGAGCTTGTGTGCATACATTTACACTTGTATAAAATATCCACGTAACTGTGAACCAAATTTGCACTTGTAAAAAATATCCACGTAACTGAACCAAATTTGAAGTCACAGAAGAAAAAAAAAGTTTTGTAGCTTGTAGAAAAAAAATGAACTTAGTGATGAAATGTTCACTTGCAGAAAAATACATATTTTTTAAATATTATTTCCATTACAACTGCAACTTGGTTATTACAACCTCTCAAATCAGTCATTACGAATCTGCTCAGTGGCAGTATAAATCGACGAATCTGCGGTCTTGACTTTTGCTACACTTCTTGCGATAAATGTGTCGCAAAAGTAATTTTCACCTGTAGATGGGGGGGGGGGGGTTGGAGCAAAGGGGCGGAGCTATCAGAACGACGAGGCTCGGGTCAGTCATACCTCATTCACACCAACGCAACACCGGTCAAGCTCCGTGCTTTTCAGGTTCAGAACCAGTTCTTCGGTTTAGCTCTGGCTCTTTTCACACCGCCCAGAGTCCGACTGGTAATGTGTCGTTGCGTCATCGTTTGCGTCATGACGTAACCGTTTGCGTGCCTGCTTCATAAAGCCAAACCGCGCGGATGAAATCAGTTGCATTCATTTCTTATGGCTCTATCTGCAGCTTTTCCGGAGTCATTTCTGTGGTTTAGTTATATTCTTATAAAAAAGTGTACTCGTGTCAATAAAGGTTTTTTTAAAACACAACTGCTTCCGAGGTCGGTCTTATTTCTTAAGGTGGACTGAACCACCATTACTGGAGTAACGTTGTATCTTTCATTTAAATGAACTGTAACCTTCACCCAGGTATGTAACAGCTGTTCTCAAATGAACACGTGAAGTAAAGTTTAATATTTATAGTTTTATAGATTTATAATGAGTTATAATGAGAGGTGATCAACGTGAATGCTCAGGTATTACGTTCCCTTCTGAGCTAGGGGAATCAACGGGAAGCAACACAACCAGAATGGGATTGGTCAAAGTTATAAGTTGTTTTATTGCACAACAGGTGAACAAAATGGCAGGCAAGCAGCCTGGAACAAACAAATTGCCACAACCACCGGTTTAAATAACAAACAATAGAGGCCACAAGGGCGCAAGTTTAAATGGGCAACCAAACTAAGGGAGGACTCTAAAAAGTGAGTCTAAACGCATACAGAATAAATAAATACTAATATAGGGAACAAAACAAAACCTCACTTTAAAAGTGGTACAACTAGCAAAGGAAGGCTGTAAGAAAACACAGCTAGGACAACAGTCAAACAATACTAAACTAATCTAAGCACATCTAATCAAACTAATCTAAGCACATCTAATCACAACAGTACTGCTAATCACAATAACACGGTCCACACAAGTTAACCCCCAGAATGAAGAGCAAATAGCGAGAGGCATCTGTTCACTCAACAGAGCCTCCAGAGTGATGATTGTCCCCAGCTTTGTAGTCCTCTCCAGCAGGTGTGCGCTGGTCTTGCACAGGGATTGGAGAACGTCGGGCCCGGCGGGCTCCAATCAGTGTCCTCGGAAGTGGACCAGGAGATGACAGCCAATGATGTTGGAAAACCACACAGCTCATTTACATAATCACACACAGCTGCAGACAATCCCAAACAGGTTACCGAGCAGGCAGAAACAGCAGCCGTAACTCCCCCCCCCCTTAAGACACAAACCCACAGCTTGTGAACCAAACACACTAACAAATCTACCTAATAACACACACTAACATCACTAAACCAACCTGATATCACACCTGAACATCGTATACTAACCTGGACAATACATCAGCCAACGCGTTCTCTGAGCTCTGTTTAAGACGGATGTCTTGTTTTGTAGTCCCGCACGATCAGAGCCCAGCGCATGAGACGCTGATCATGCTTGTGTACGCTAAGACAGGCTACGTAGGGATCATAACAGAGGAACACGACTATGATTGGCCACAGGCTGAGTCCTACCCAGATCTCAACGTGCTGTAGAACTAGCACCAAAACTAAGATGAGTATCCGATAAATCAGCAGACACTCTCGGATTACTGAGAGAGTCGGAAAGTCGAAAGGCTTGTCTGAGCCGACGGGTTGCGCCGTGTCGCAACATCCTCATGAGGAGGGTAAGCCACAATTACTGGCTTTCCCTCGGGCACAACCTTGTCTGGGAGCACCGGCACAATCGCAGGCTCAGGCAAGAAAGCATCTGAGTCATCCCTGAGTGCAGGGGTCACCTTACTACCCGCAATGTCATTTCCCATTAAAAACACTATCCCTTTTAACGGTAACGCTGGACACACAGCGACTGGGTAGAAACCGGTTGCTAGGTCTGACTGTACATGTACCTTGTGTACGGGCCGTGGGATGTAACCCATCTCAATGCCGCATAATGTGGAACCATAACCACAGGCTGACTGTTCAGAAAATGGCAGTGCGGAGGCAACAATCACAGACTGGGAGCCTCCAGTGTCTCGTAATATGCACATAGGTCTTTGATCGGCAGACTCCCCAGTTAAGGATATTAACCCCTCGAACACATATGCTTAAAACAGGGATCTATCTCACCATCGTCACGGTCAGATGCAGGGATAAGGGATGACTCACCTTTAATCAGGCCAATGCCTTTTGGGGGGGACATGTTTTGTGGCTGCTCCTTATGCGTCTGAGCTGCACAGTTGGCGATGACATGTCCAGGTTGGTGACAATAAAGGCTCTCTCTCTCCTCTGTAGTTACATCATACACATTCAACGGCCCGGTAAATGGGGCGTCGGACACCTGGTGGGACCTCTCGGTATACACAGGAGAAAACACAGATTTATGAATGAGTACATATTCATCAGCCAACACAGCGGCAGCAGAGAGAGAGTTTACTTTCTGTTCATTCAAGTATACCACAATACGATCAGGAAAACATCTCTTGAACTCCTCCAACATGATCAGTTCCCTCAGAGCAGCATAATCCGCCGCTTCACATGAAGCAACCCACTTAGTGAACATCATTCCCTTCTCCCTGGCGAACTCGACATGTGTCTGATTAAGACCCTGCCTGTGGTTCCTACATTTCTGTCGGTACGCTTCGGGAACTAATTCATACACCCTGAGAATGGCACCCTTTACTAAGTCGTAATTTAGACCGTCCTCTAGCGAAAGAGCAGCAACCGCTTCCTGAGCTCTTCCATAAAGTTTGCACTGGGCTAACAGAGCCCAGGCTTTAGCATCCACCTCAGTCTCACGGAAAAGTGGCACTAACGAAATATTTTTGACTACGTTGAATGCAGGGGGATGAGAAGGAAGTGGAAGGCTTTCTCCGACATGGCCAAAAGCACCGGAGGCGCGCAGCTCGGAGTCTAGCTCCAGCTGACGTATCCGGACTTCCTTGTCCATTTCCAACTTTCGTAGTTCCAACTGGAACTGCCTGTCTTGCTCCCTGTCTTTAGCTTCCCACTGAAGCTGCCTGTCTTTAGCTTCCAACTGAAGCCGGACGAGACGGACCTCAGGATCACTCTCTTCCTCAGAGTCCGAACTGCCAGGAGGCGGTGGGTTGTAAGGAATCGGCGTGAATGGTGCTTTAAACTGCCCACCGCCCTCACTGTCACCACCTTCCCCTTTAGTAAACGGAAACTCCGCCTCCTGCCTCTGATTTAAGATCTCTTCAGATAGAGCATCGGACATAGGGAGCTCAACTGGTGCAGCCAGTATAAGTAACCCCCTTTTTACCATCTCATCCACCACCAATGCCTTCAACTCTTTCTTCAACGATTATTTACTTACTGTGAGACTGAAGTGTTGCGCTAGCTCATATAAGTCGTCTCTACGACACTGAACTGCTCATGAGAAGGGCAGACCAAAAACGACTCCAAATCATAAGTTGCCATCCTCAGCTAAAACTGCACACAACCTTACCAAACTGTTTTTAGCTGTACAAACCCACTTATAACCCCAGGAAAGTAGTTAATATCCCGGACGAGCCCCCATGTATTACATTCCCTTCTGAGCTAGGGGAATCAACGGGAAACAACACAACCAGAATGGGATTGGTAAAAGTTGAGGTGAAAGAAGGTAGACTAATACCTCATTCACACCAACGGTGTTTCAGGGCCGGTTCGGAGCTGGAGCTTGAAAAGCACCGGGTTTTCCTCTTCACACCGCAGCGGAGCAGCCTCTTAGCTCCGGAATCCGGTTAGTTTCAAGCACCAAAAAATTGTCCGGCCAGAGCAAAAGCACCACATACGTCACGCTTACGTCGAGGCGGGGCAGGGGCCGGATCACCTCCTGAACAACAACAAAAAGCCGGCGTTGTATCCAGTTTGTACACAACGATGGAGAAACTTAACAAGCAGCAGTGGTCCACTGAAGAGACCAGCTACCTACTGGGAATCTGGTCTTCCGAAGAGGTACAGAGGAAGCTGGAGCACAATCGGCCATTGTTGTTGTTGTCGGTGTCAGCTGTGAGGGGTTTCCGCGCGATTTGGCTTTATGAAGCAGGCACGCAAACGGTTACGTCATGACGTAAACGATGACGCAGCACCAGTCGGACTCTGGGCAGTGTGAAAAGAGCCGGAGCTAAACCGAAGAACCGGTTCTGAACCTGAAAAGCTCTAGCACAGAGCTTGAACCGGAGTTGCGTTGGTGTGAATGAGGTAACAGTCACAGCCACAGTCAGGTCGAACCGGATGACTGCGGGG